CTAATTGGGGAAAATCCGAAGTCTTCGAGCAACTGAAAATGAATGAGTCTCACTAGACAAACTTGCGAAAATAAAATATGAAATGCCCCCCGAATCGCTTAGTTTTTGGGGTATGCGCGTCGTGGAATATTTGAGCTAATATCTGTTGCAGTATGCATATGTATACTACAATATCAACAGTTGTGACGATTAACAATGCAATTTAAGTAAAATCTTGCTTCCTACGAAAAGATAATTCTGATTTTTCAGTCGCTCTTAGGCTTAGTGCAAAATTGAAGATCAAAATCGTCGTCTCCTAATCTCGTTGCGGTGAACATTTAAGATTCTAAAATTCGCCTAATGTTGGTTGCTTTTATCCTAGTATAAGTGAACCACTGTTTTGTACAAGTTTTTGGTTCTAAAACCATTTGTTTGTCTTAAAATCCCTACTTCCAGCTTTTTTACGTTCAGGTTTGAACTAGTTTTTCTAAACTTCTGTACTAAATCTAACTAAAAAAAAACTAATTAAATAATCTCCCGTAATTCGCAGGTCTCCTGATACTGACACACAAAAATCAAATGACTGAAACACAAAAACACTTAATTTTGAGCATTTGATTTAAGTAATTTTGTGCGTTATGTATTTTCGCTGTTTATGCAAGAAATAATCCATTTACTCATTATCGGACGCTTCAAAGAACATTTTTGAAACACCATAAGGTTCTGCAAAAAAACTACATGATATATCATGCATAACTTTTATAACAAGCGAGAAAACAGCTATATATAGTTTTATTGGGAGCACCCTGTATTTCACAGTTAATAAGTTCACAGTGCATGTGGTGAAATGAGTGAGATGCATAAATTTGTTATAATTTTTTCAAAAATTACTATTTGGTAAATTATAGCAAAAAAGTTAAATTAATCGGATGATTCAACGTAAAAAAAACATTCGAACCACCTATATGTACATATTACGAGAAAAAATTCCTACTTTCTGGAGAAAAAATCGAATTTAGAACGGAGTTTTCTGATCATTAAGAATAAGATTTTTCTAAATGTAATAAATCTAAATACTTAACAAACATACACTAGAACAGAACACTTTTGCTTGAAGGTGCTTGCTCTAGTCTTAATATTATGTAGTTTGTTACTTACTACAAAGAAAAAATTGCGTGGAAATACCAATACATTTAAATCATTTTCGACGGATCAACAGTAAAAGTTTTGAACGAAAAACGTTGCCATAAGTATTGAAAAAATATTATTCTGTTCACCGCCAAAATTAACAAAACAGATGTCTCAGATCAGAAAAATCAAATTTAATTTTTAAATTTACTTAAGTTTCTGTTTTTTTATTATTGTGGATAAAATATGTATTTATCTCTTAATTATTATTATAAAATATATTAAATATTTTTGAACGTTTCCTTTTTAACACAGCCAGTGGAAACTAAACAACCCGCTAAAAGCAATAGCGTAAAAAAAGTTGATTGTAAAACTGAGAGTACCACTACCTTAAGAAGATCAGATCGCATTAGATGCAAAATGGGAATGATTACAAATCCAAACGGGGCTGAAGGAAAACCGACAAGTAGCGGTAAAACAGGTACAGACTATGTAAATGAATTATTTATATAAAACTAAATCTCAAGCTAAACATCACCCAATATATGATATCAAAAATGTTCACAAATTGACATAAGCAAACGTAGGTTTGTACTTTTGATTTATATGTATAAAATATATTATTAAGACTCAATGTAAAGCGTTTTTCAATTTTTATGATTTTAAAGAAGAGAATCCAATCAAGAATCCTAAAAAAGGTTTAAGAGGGAAAATACTCAAAGTCGTGGAAGAAGAGGAAACAGCAGCTGCATTGAAAGGTATTTCAAGTTGTGGAAAATTGTGAGAAAGTCAGTAATACCATACCAAATACTGGGTCGATTTTTGACTTACCATGGATTAAAGCTTACTAATTCAAGTGCCTAAATCCCAAGTAATACGTGAGAAAAATTAAGCTAGTCTGTTTTGTGACGAGTTTACATATAGTAATTAATTTTGAGAACTGATAAACATTCATGTCTGCTACGACATACTTATTCATAGTTTATTTTGTCAATTTTGCACAATAATTTTGGTAAACGCATGCCATATTATTAAAAATAAGTTGTTTTTTTCATGTCAAAGGTATTGTATTTTATGTATTTATATATTTGTTTCTTTTTAGCAGAAGAAAACAAGAGTGTGCTTGATACAACCTTTACAATGAATACCGGTCAGTACTATCTATATATTCATCGCATAATTTTTGCATCTACATTTTTATTTTGGTATTTAGAACGCTTTGATGATAACAATTACAAACCTCAATAAATTCCGGTTTTTCAACGATACTACTTAAAAAAATACATATTTGACCAACTGCGATTGGCTAAATATGCTATTTCATCGTCATATTTAGTAATACGACGAATAGGACGAATATAAAAATCTCGCTTCTTGAATATAACTTAGGACAAATCGGTTAAACAGTTTCAAATTAAATAACCTGCAAGTTTGTCATTGTTATTTGGATTACTAATGTTTTATCTATTATCTATCTTATTTAGAAGGTGGGGCAGCTAGTAACATTACCGCTTTATCTGGTATTGCGGAATTACATGACATATCAGAAGTCGATTATTCAACAACCCCAAGAAGACGGTCTATTATGCTTAAATCCATAGGTAATTATGTCTTCTGATTATTGTTTATACATATATTCGTGTCATTGAATCATTTCAGGTTATATAAGAGTTCAAATTTTGCTGAATATTGCACTTATTTACAAATTTTTCCTTCAGATAAGAAAAAAAGAACTCCCTATAGAAATAATTTCAAGAGTAGTACTCCTGTATCCGCCGAAGAAGTTTTGAACGATATTACCTTCGATCTTCAAGAACAGAATACTCCAGAACGTAGGAGTCCGCGAAAGTCAAAAGGTAATTATAATGGACTTGAAATACCGAATATGACAAATTTTGCAAAATTTAAATACTTGATAGAATATCGAATGGAAACTCATATGGAAATCATCAGAAAAGTGCAATTATTTTTTTAAATCTTCCGTTACTGGCCAGGGGTTTGTAAAAAAGACGACTGCAAATATTTATTATACATAAATATTCTTACTAAATAAACTACATAAATATTCCTAAAATATTCGGAGGGATTTAAAAAAATCGTCTGCGAAAATCTCATTATCCAAATATGCAGTATTCAAATCGAATTACTTCCTGAAATATCCATGGGCGCTGACCGTGAGACCTCTGTATAATATAAACATGGCGTGCCACTTTTTTATCGTTTCAATAGACTTTGCACCATTAACAATCGATAAAACTTAATTATTTTGTATCACCAATCATTTATACTGACTAGAATCGTATGCTCTTCAGATAACATTCGTTTCTCATTTGTAAATTTTTCCAAATTCGAGCTCTTCAAAGAATTGTTGTATACTAATAATTGAGAAACTAATGTTAAGTTCAACCTTTTAATTAGAGTGCATCGGATGACAATGGTAATTTCTCTGCTTTTTCAGTTTCAAATCATGCAGCGAAAGTCGAACCTTCAATAGTCGCGGGTACGAAATCTAAAGGTAATTTGTATTTTTAATAATTTATTTTTATGCGCTACTCATACGAAGGGCACTAAAAAATATGCGATTATATTCATTTAAGTAAAAAAGGAAAAAAAGAAAGAGTGTCGAGATGAATCGATCTTTATCAGTTGCAGGTGTAAGTGATCATGAGGGAGTTTTACATAATATCACCTTTGATCTTCAAGAGCACCGCAATACGCCACGACGTAGTAATTCGTTTAAAGTAACAAGTAAGTACGCTTGAATGTTGCGATCTTTAAATAACACATTACAATATTTCAAACGTGCATTTAAGAAATAGTTAATAAGCCTAAAATTTGTACTTTGTATGGGATCAAACTATTTCCAGTACTATACTAAAGTTTTTGTCGCAGGTGTAAGAAAAAGCAATGGAAACGCTATAAGCGCAAGAAAAGAGCCGAAAAAAACATTAGACGCCATCGGGAATCTCTCCAATGACCAAAAGATTAACCCGCCTGTTTATATTAGCCCATTTGTTACTATCAGTCGAGGTTAGTGTTGATGAATTAAATAAATTGAATGCGTCATCCACATAATTATTATTACCGTATGTCTTTTATCTATAAATCTACACTTCCTATAATTATTAAGTTCATTTTATTCTATTTTTATTTTCGGCCAATTTCACTGATGTGTGTACTATATTGATTACGCATTACGGATATGCGTATGTAGGAATTACATTCGATACAAACATTTTGATGTTCAGGTAAGAAGAATGCCAGAGACGAACATATAATCCGACGCTCGCTTGGCCGAGACCTATCAATGAAGAACACGGATATTGATGTTGCCAGCATAATCAACGGTCACACAAGTCCTGACGCAGCAGCTGATTACTTTATGGCGAAATTAAACGCCTCAATACAAAATATTAATGAATTGTGCGAGGTAATAACCAAAACTACCACAAACCTTATCTATTTTAAGCTGATGATAATTTTTTGTTATTTAGAAATGGGGAAAATGTCTTCAAGACCCGGCATTGTCAGAAGAAGCGAGTTCGTCAATAGTCGGCACAATTGGTCAATCGAAACTATTGATCAGTGACAAATTTGAACAGTTTCGTAAACTAATTATACAGTGTAAAAATCAAGATTCAGCAGAAGGTTATATTAGATGCGAGGATCTTCATGGCTTTTGGGACATGATCTATTTACAGGTAAATATGAAATGATGATTAAATGACTTAATCCTAATGTAAAAAAATATTAATCACATGTGTATTTATTGAAGGTTGAGAAGTTGGAAAAAACATTCGACCATTTACATTGCCTTAAGGAGAACAACTGGATTGAACTTCTTCCTGAAAAGAAAGTCGTTAAAAAATGTCCAAAGGTTCGAGGAACGAAACCTGTAGCCCAATCGCGAATAAAGGATCTTATAAAAGCAGCTAGAGAAAAGCGGAATAAAATGGAAAATAATGTGGTTGAAGAATGCAAACGCGTAGAAGTTAAAACTCCAAAAAGAGAACCACAGGTGGGCTTTTAAATAAGATTCTATGAAACTACTACTTCCTCTCTTTCTTAATAAGTTAACTGAAAAGATCAGTCAAATATCTCGTAAAGTGTAGTAAACATGTTGTGCATTGTGTGCACAGTGTGCAAAAAAGTTGATATCACCTTCGGAATTTCCCCTAGCAGTAACACGTTTTCTTGTATTTGCTATAATTTAAGAGATATTTGACTCGCTCTTTGAAAATGAGCCACTCTGCATATAATACTGTTTTCTATGTGCGGAAAAGGAAACTGAAAGAACACTATTTTCCGCTGGGTTGAAATATTAATGCTATTGAGCGTTACACTTAAAATTACAGGTACCACAAGCTGAACCCCAAAGCAGTTCCAAGCGCAGAAGTTCCAGAGTATCATTGCTTGCGGAAAACTCTAGACATAGTAGTCCAGGTTTAATAGTAATGAAATTGATGCAATCCATTAAATACGGGGACGGACTCACACCAGCTAGGAGCATTTTAAAACATCAAAATCTCAAATCTACCGGGAAAAAATCGGTCACATTTAGGCCATCATTGACCACGGGTACACTCACACCAACAGCGCTATTTAGAGCTGAAGAAAAAGAAAATACTCCTCGCATGGTTAGGAGATCGCGTAGAACATCGCAAGCAATTAGCTAAATATGGTCCTATTTAACTTAAGTGATTCTGATGTACAGTTAATTTGATTTTAATATAATTGACTTCTTTTTAGTGTTATTTCTTACATTAAGTGATTACTGATGTACAATGAATTTGACTTTAATATAATTGACTTCCTTTTAGTGTTATTTCTTACATTTTTTCTTTATTACGTAGTATACAGGGTATCATTGTCACTAGTTTTCATTGCAACTAAGAGTTACTGTATTACTGCATAAGATGCGGCAAAATAGGTATATGAAAACATTAAATTGACAATATTTCGAAAACTAAACACTTTTGGAATAGACAACCTTACACGAACTCGCCCTTATTTTTAATACTGAACTAGATAAATTTATGATAAATGGGGGTTTTCATTTGAAAAAAAATTATTTTGGGGGGTTTCTCAACGTTATTCTGAAGCTTATTTTTTTAACAATTTGTATTAATAGTTATCAAATTTTGGTGGAACTTTTATTACTCAATCCCTAATAGGAAAAATGAATAGTTATTTGAGTGCCTGCAACTGCCATTTTTTACATAGAATTTCAAAAACGGATATACTTAGGTATAGGATATTATACATGAAATATATTTACATTTTGGAGTAGATTTGAAAAATAAATAATATATAGGGTGTTCCATTTAGCAAAAGCAAGTGGATACCAACTTCCGGTATAACCGGAAGTGTGGCTATCTTGAAAATATTTTATCGATCGCGGCTGTTCCCGGTTAGTCACCGTGTATACATACAGTGTGGTATGGAAGTATGGAATTATTAAATTATCTCCCGATCTGTGCTCCGTCCCGATTTGAGTGCAATGTGCACTTAGTTGCCAAATTACGCGCGATTTAACTGCGAGTTGCCAGGCACTACAAAAATGTCTCGTTTTTCTGAGATTAACAGCAATGTCTTTCTGATGGAACCGTAAAATTTTGTGCGATTTTCGAAAACTTCGCGGAATTCTCAACGAAGCATTTAGTTGTTGGAAAAATTGCTGTTAAAAATAATTATTTTAATGAATTTTACCTCCAAATACCCGTATAAATCAAACTAATATTAAGTCAGAGATGTCTGGAAAGTTTTCGCCTGCATATAAGATAATTTATGGTAAAATACAGTAAAAAATCAGCTCATGATTTTTAACCTCCCATTCTTAAATAAGTTTAAATGAAATATGTATGTGCATTTAACAAAACGCACTCAGAATTCTATGCAGAATGCGATAAAATATATAAGGTTCTATTAGGGAAAAATATATATATTCCTATTAATTAAAAAAAAGAGACCCCTGACAACAATTCAAGTTCGTAAAATTTCATACAAATCGGGTAGGCGGATTGCGAGAATTTTTGATAATTTCAGACTTTCGTACTACACTGTATATATCTTCATATTTAAACAATGTGATATAGAGTGACGTCAAATAAGAAAAAATATGCATTTATAACGGTTTTTCAAATTTTACAACTGTTTTAATATATCCCAGATCACAAGGATTTCGTTAGAAATTACTATCAACTAAATATAGTTGAAAATACAGGACTTACATGGTTTAGTCTGTGGTAAGTACATTATATTGTAAAAAAGTAGCAAATAAAGTTTTTGTCGTACACTTTAACGTCACCTTAAATTTTAAAATATTTTCTGTCTGTCCAATTATACCCTTAGAAATATGAAATGAGTTGTAGAAAAGCAACGAAGCTTTTCATAATTCTTCGATGGATAGAACGAAAGTTCACAGGGTGAAAAATTGTACACGCAAAAAATAACTTAACCTTTTTAAAAATTTTGCCAGTTAATTTTTGCAAGGTAAGTAATTGTCGCACTAAACAGCAAATATCTGGTGATTAAATTGTTTGATTTGATGGTCATTCGAATTGTTATAATTATTGTTAAATTTTATTTCATTCTATATAACTATAAAAGCAGAGTAGATATTTTAAAGATATACAGTGTGTCTACTGAAGCTCGCACCATATGGAAATATTTTTCCATAAAACAAAAAGTTCTGCTTGGTCTAAAACCTAAAATGCAACCACCATCAGGTATTAATTTTTTCCAGTCGTATAAGAGGAATATCAGAAAACGTGAATGTTGCTGAAGAACAAATTATCTTTATTTTAGACAATATCGGAAATTGTTATCAAGACAAGTTGATTGAGTTAGATATCTAATTGCACCTACCTATCGGAAACTTTTTACTATTAATCTTTCGAAAAAAAGTTCAACGTGTTCCCACCTCTAAGCTACATTCAACATATATCAAAAGGCCATTTCCATATAATAGCATATTTGAATGTAGTTTTTATTTCTGACCAACTTTCCTTAATAACAGTTTTCGATATTGTCAAAAATCAAGGTATTTTATTCTTGAGCAAAATTCACATTTTCTGATATACCTCGACTGAAAAAAAGGTCTATTGACTGCATTTAAAGTTGTGGACCAAGCAAACCTTTCTATGGAAAATATTTTTTTTCATAAAATTATTAATAAAAGTTTCCCATATGGTGCGAACTTAAGTACACACAGTATATGAACGGAGTCCCAACCAGTAGTGAAAATAAACGGTGTTCCACTAATAAAATACATGTATAACATTAAAGCACTTTGATGTTTTTGGATCACCCAGTACATTCAAAAACAAATTTAAAACGTTCCCCTGGTCAATTTTTTATCCCGTTTAAAAACGCTTCCAAGCAATACTCCGAATCTCCTTGTATTCGATCAACAAAAATTACATCCAAACTAAAAATAATTCACCTTTCTTAAATACATTTTTAGGTAAATTTAGGTTCAGAAGAAAATATATGCCGTACTGAAGAATATTCGAGTAACCAGTTAAATAAATCACGTTCAAGTTACGCAGAACATTGGAAAAAGGCGATCACCAAACCCGTACACAAAAATTGTATGACCGAATATCAGGCTTGAAAATGAACTTCGCATTAGCTTTCCGTTGAAAAACAGGACGAACAGAATTTTTAATATTATTAAAGTTAAAACAATGTATTAAAAAATGAAAATAAACTTATTTACCATTTTTCTAATCTGGTAGCTCGAAGAGGCAAAATATCCGTTTTCCCATTTCCCTGTGGAATACAACTCTTTTTAAAATAAATCACACCCGAGACACAAAGGACGGAACGCAAAATGATAACTGGAACAATCGAAGAAAAAAACAGGTTTTGTCGGCCCGACATAAACAAACACATACCAGAACGTGTTTGCTCGAAATTTCTGTCGATTAAATATTATAAATGTGAGAAACAAACCTGGAATCAATTTTTTATTGTATTTATAGRTACAGGGTGTAGGTACAATTGATGCTTTCCCCGCTGGAAATTTAGAAAAACGTTTAGTTTCCAATTTAGGGGGTGGAAATTGTCACTAATAAATATATTAATATAAAGAAAGAATTTTTTTAGCAAATTTTCTCCAATCTGGAAGAGAAATTATGTCCGTGTCGTTTTTTTTTTCGTTTAACGGAGGGTTTTAATAGAAAATATCGATCATAATAAAGCAAAAAAAACTTGTAAACAATTTTTTATAACTTATTTTTAATATTGCCCAATGAATGTTTATTTTCCGTTAATTTTAAAAGTAAATCCAATTATATTCGTATTTCAACTAAGTGCAAAAACACACAAGCTAGTCCGAAGTAGATTCGTCGTAAAGTTTACTTTTTAATCCTTTAAATTGTATATTCTCGAAAATCTGCAATCGAAACTATTGATCGTATACTTTATTATTTATGATAATTTCAATCAATTTTTTATTCACTAAAAAACATTTAGATTAAAAAACGTCAAAAAAGTGATTACAAAATTGATAATAGAAACAAAACTGAGCGTTTCATTATACGTGAAAATTTCAAAATCATGGTTTCCCAAAGGTTTCAAATTACTCAAATCAATCCAGCGAATAAATAAACTGAAATTATTTAAATTGGAGATAACTTTTTCAAAAAATGCGGCTAAAATATAAAAAGTAAATACTTGTTGTGTAAAAATGTGTATCTAAAAACATGTATATAATAAAAACACTGGCTCTTAGACAAGTACAATTATTTACTGACACACATTAGGTATGAATATGGCCTCAATGTTATTTATAACTATAATATACTGGATGCCTCATAATTAATCGTACAACGCTAAGCCACAGATTCCTATATGAAAAACACCAAAGTTTAACTTAACTTTCCTTGATTCAAGAGTTGAAAATAACCGAATTATAGAGCGTCGAAGTTCCCTTCCGAAATATTAATTTCCACAAATTATTAACAGAAAACTACTTCAAAAAAATTAACTTATTCATTTCTCCAATGATTCGATTATTATCAACTTTTGTCTATATGTAAGTAGTTAGACTAAGCCTCAGGGGTATTGTTTCAAGAATATGTGGTTTACCTTTGAATCATTTATTATAGAGACCCTGTATAATTAAACTGATAAATTTGCGAAGATATTAGTGCTAAATCATAAAACATAGATCTTGTTATTAACACAATTAATTAAAAAAATAAACTTATAAAAGTATAAAATATTAACATGCTCACTTTGTTAGAAACAAACACTAAAATAGTACTGGATATTATTAAATAAGTGTATTACACATATTGTGTCAAATGTGTTCAAATTCCATATTGCCTCTTAATTCTTTCCACTGAAAAATTCACATTTAAAAAATCTGTTTTCCAGTTTCATTTTGGTATTATTACCAATATTTATAAAGAAATGCACCAAGTAATTCTTATTAAGGAAGCAAAATACTATTAAGTTACCAATATTTTGTAACGGTTGTTTGTTGATGCTAAAATAAAAGCTGATATTAAATAAGTGCAAGCTATAAATTGTCTCTTATGTTAGATAAAATAATTTATGAAATCATTTTTATTGGGTACTACCCCACATTCGTAACGCGATTAAAGCTGAGTTCAATTTGGTACACCATAAAATCCTTTCTTCTTTTGTATCTGCTGATAACAAATGCCTAAAAATAAATATAAATAAAATGGTTACCACATAATAATATTACATTAAATAATAGGCATGTTAAAAATACGCAACTGATTGAGCTTTAGTCAGTTCTCAGGTACCAATTTTCTGAATAATGTTTAGTCTAAAAACAGTTTCTACTTCTTAAATGTAAACTTCTGTTGCAACAAACGAAATTAAAACAGATCAGATAAATTAATAATGCTCACCTTATGATTGTTTTGTCGCCTTTTCTTACTATAACCAATGTGTCTTTATCTTGGGCACATGCAGGCCTTTCTCGTTCTAACAAAAATGTATGTAATCGGGCGCAAATGTCTCTGCTAACCGGAGCCACTTGTTTGGTTATACAAGTTGTCAGATCTATTGTATCAATTGGAGCCTACACAAAAAAAAACAGGGATACGTAATAAAATGTAATCGACTACAGAAGCAGAAATGGAAATAAAGACAAAAATCTGGATTTGTAAAAAAGCCACAAATGTAATTAAAATTTAAAAATATTACCATTTTTCTCTCATCATCGGGATATTTCCAATAGCTAAAAGTGTTCCCTTTCAACAAACACCACCTTCTATGCCAGGCTCCAAAACCAGATATATCTTCGAACATCGTAAGGAACCCCCTATGCTCCACAGAGACAGCTAATTCACATGTGATTTTCATTTCTACACTTCCTTCAAGTGGACTCATTGCTGGTGTCTATCATTAAAAACAAAGATTAAAGCTAATAAATAACGATTTTCAAATAATATACAACATACATTATTTAAACTCCAAACGCGCTTGCTAACTGCTTGTATTGAGAATATTACATATCCCATTAGCGCAAATGAAGAAGTCCGAACAGCCTGAGGTCCACCAGGAGACTCTTTTGGCGGCATTAACAGTCTAGAGTCATGTTTGCCTTTCTTAGGGGTAACAAGACCTTTTGAGGACTGAAAACGTACGTTGACTTTTAAAGAAAAATTACTTAATTAAACCAAAATACCTTTTTATTAATATGGTATTTGACGTCATGAGGAAGACATTCTTCTTGAGCTTGTAAACAGTACACTTCAAAGGTCAATGTAAAGTCGCTGTAGATGTCATTTAATGTTACAGAACCCGGAATATATAAGTCCACGTCTGGGTTACTAGCATTAGCGACTGTTGAAACTAGTTTGGTCGGGACTACATTTTCGCAACATTTTATAAGGCAGACTACATGATGGCCCTTTCCTCCTGCTAACATTATAAAAGAAAACATATAATACGAACTCTTTAAACTCAATAAAATTCTTACCTGCTGCCAAAGCTGTAACGTATTTCTGCTTCATAGGTAGCACTATGTTAGAAATGGTCAAAGTTCCCTTTTCAAGTGGTACATTTTCCGAATGTTTCCCCATTGGCCTGATGTTACCTTCCACTTTTAGTCTTTGCAGCTCATGTAACGCCGCTTGCCGCCGATGACCTAAAACATTAATAAATTAGCTGGTAAGCAACAACATAAACGTGAATATGAGACAGCCTTACTTGCTACAAGAAGCACTCGTTCAGCTTCAACTTGTTCAGTAGATCCTGAAAATTCAGGAGTACTGCTGCAAAGATTTAGAGCTTGGCTGGTTTGAGCAATGATATTCTGCTGCCTGTTCACCTGAAATAAAAAGTTTGCCTTTGTAAATTAATTATCTTTGCTTATAATGTGCATGTTTTACCTCTTGCTGCAAAAGTTCCATTTTCTTTTGCACTTTATCCTCTTCAACACTGCCAATATCTTCTTCAATCACAGGTTGCCTAATAATATGTCTAATCGGGGTGTGTACCTGCAAAAACCACAATTAAATTAATTAAATATTTGTCCTAAAAAAACAATAAAATTACCTCGTTTTGCTGTTTTCTATAAAAGCTAACGGTATGTGTTAATGGCAAGACCTGTTCCCCATCGACAATCAACGGAAGCTCTGTTGATTGTCTTGGAGAAATGATCGACTTGTTCGGGGATTGAAACTTCGATTTTTGTGCTGATGGTGGCGAAGATGAACTTGAATTGAAGCTCTTGTAGTGAAATGAATTGGAAGGTTGCGGTTTGGTGCGCTGAAATATTGATATCTTTGCAGGAAAGACTGGCGTGTTTAAGACAATAATTAATTACGTTTGGAGAAATATGTCTGCCATGTTTAGGAGGAGTTGGCCCCGCACTACTATCTTCTTCCATTTCCTCCAAAATTTCATCCAATTCATCAATGACGCATGAATTTTCACTACTGGAAGAGCACTCCTTATATGTAACCTAAAGTATAGATGTTTTTTTAGCAAATACCGGTTGGACAATGCACTCTTTACTGCATAACGACAAAATCTCTGATTAAGAAAGTTGCAGCTTCTTACTTTTTTTGATGGCGTAATGTTCTTGCAAACAGCCTGTATAATGTCTCTTCCAAAACTAGTGTTTGGATCATCTGAGTCACAGTTGTTCTCTCCAAAACTGTAAATAAACGAACAAAGAAAAAATTGAAATTAGCTGGACTTTTTTTCTTAACAATATTAAATAAAACTTTTTTTTAAATATCCTTAACATTTAGTCAGAAATTGGAACAGATTGAGAACAGAAAGCATAGAATTGAAGAAATTTCATCAGTTCCTTTTTATGTTTTCATCCTCCTTCTTATGATCAGAAACGATATTTCGACAACTTGAAAAACACTAATGTATTCAAACGACAGAAGTTTATCTAATCCTGTGAAATAAAGCCTTTTAGAGCACAGCAATTTGAATACAGTAAGGATAAGTCGGTTAGTTGATGATGGCAAGGGTTAGTATGATGAAGGTGAAATGAAATGACAATGAATGACTAAATAGATAGTTTATTGTGGAGAAAAACCATCACAGTATTTACAAAGTCTATAAAATACATGTAATTAGCTAAAATACAGAAATTAGCTTTAACTAATTGCAATTTGATTCTCTCGGCATACCACTTAAAAAATATAAATAAAACTCGGTAAGAAGTCAAGATATGTTACCGACAAGAATATGATCGGAACGAAATGGTGTGAGACAAACATGCAATGAGGATGAGAAGAAATCAACATGTTGAAATTACCAGAACTATATACGAGGATTCGAACTAAAAGTAGCCAAAGTCTCTGCTCAGTGCTGTTTTCGAGAATGGCGTAAAAAGAAAATGCACACATATTTCTACGAAAAACTAATTATTTTTTTGGTAAATAGTTAAAAAGTACATTATGCATTTTTCAAAATGCAATGTTTAGGAGAGCCACACAATTATTTTTTTAGCTTTTACTCCTACGAAAGTTGAAAAAATTGACCAACTATTCAAAATGTCCTTTCACTTTTTTACATATATTAACACATCAAAAATCAATACACTATTGGTATTTGGAGCATAAATTAATGCCATTTTTGAATTTCATATATAAGAATTCAAGCTTTGATAGTTTAAAGCAAATTATCAATTATAGTCATTGATTAGCCAAACGAGACGACATCGACGAAAAAACAAAAAAGTTTTATTTTTGGAGCGACCTACAAAATATTCCATTTTACAAATACTTTATCGTACTTTAAAACATAAGTTCTCTTATGTTTCGTATGTCGATTGATAAGAACACTAGAAGAAAAAGCCGTTTTTTACCATTTTCACCCTCTGAAACTCACGAATTTCAAAAACAAAATAAAGGACGCCATAATTTTTCCGCTCTTTGCGCTGGCATTCCAGTCCAATTTTTTTGCGCAGTTACCAGTACTATCAGTACCACTACCTTAACCATCCATGCGGCCGTCACCCACTCAAATCAAATTGAAAACTTCGACATTTAAAAGTTCCGTTTTAAAAGTTGAGACATTTTCGAACAATGGCCGGTGTATTTTTCATTTTCTCTTGATCTTCGTAGTTTACTCATTTTAGGGTTGATTTTGCATTAATGTTTTAAATTAAGAAAATTAGCGCATGTAAAGGTTTTTGATGCATTTCAGATGAAAATACAATTCATCTTCTTCCCTTACCTCACCATTTGCTAAATATGAAAATCTCAGTAGCATAAAAGTATTTTTATATAATAAAAATAATCTACTAAAATCCAGATTAATAAAATCCGGTATAAGTCAAGTGATCAACTTATTTTGTGTTTTTAACTTAAACTTTGAACTTGAACTTAAAATGAAATTAAAACGTTAAGGAAAAATCAGGAGTTTTGTAGCCCGCTATCCTCTTAATAAATTATTATATGTCACCAACTTCAAACTATAAAAATAAACGTGTATCCACTATAGAACCATCAAAATAAATCAGCTTATTATTAAACAAGTTGATAAAAATAATGCACTGTTATCATAAGCTTGATGGATAAAAAAACAGGTTTGATCGACTTCATCCCGCACGATCTTATATCACGATCTCCACTATATTTGATGGTACAAAATTTTTATTCGACGATTGTTATTTACACTTATCAGTTATTTTAATTAGTTAGTAATTTGTGTTCTGACACGGAAAAGCGATAACTAGTGAATTGTCTGCTTAAAAAACGACCTAAAAATCTAAAATTGTCATAGACTACCAAAAACCATAAAAGTTCTTGAGACAGTACTTCAGTTCTAAGATTACTCAGGACATGAGCTCAGTAATCACGCTAAACAAAAACAAAAAAGTATCCAATTTGAAATTTTATCCCACCTGTTTTCTTCGTTGGGCGTTGGTGTCCTCGTGTCCTGATCAGTTGTAGTGGCCTCAATGTCTGACAAACATGGGTACAGTCGGCCGGCTTTCGGCGGAGACACTTTAATTCGCTTTACTTCGTCAAGAACTGATGCGACTTGAGGACTATCATTTCCATCTGAAACGATTGAGTTGCCAAAGGTGATTAGTACTGAAAATAATCAATTTCGGAAGCTTAATTTACTTGATAGGCGACTGCCACTTTTCCTCTTCTCAGCTGATTTTCGTGACTGTGAGCTTTCAATTTGAACAGTGACCGTTTCTTTAATCATAGCTGTGCGTTCATCAACTTCGTCATCGTCAGATGATTCCGATGCACTTCTTTCGTAATTGTAACTTTGGACGTCACTTCCCTCATTTAAACCCTGTTTTGATAACACCCAAATAAAAATTTATTGTTGCTGTATACCTGGTACAATAAAAAAATACGAAAACGGGCTAATTTACCTGCTTATTCTGATTGAAACGATTCAAGAGCATATCAAGCTCCTTTTGACGTTCCTGCTTCATTTTGTTAGCGATCTGTTCTTCAGATATAGTGGCTTTGTTTTTGTTCTCTAGTAACGCTGCCATTTTGCTGGCTATTCCTCCTGCCTGGTAAACAGCTGCCACAGTGGGCACAGTGACCGAAGCTATTGAAGCAACTTTCGAAGTAGAAGATGTCGCTGCCTTAAACTGCTGCGCTGGTGGAGGTGGCGGTGGTGTGGACTTCGTTTTCGATCTGGATGCTGCATAGTTCGGTTTAGAGGGCTGTTGTGCTTTCACCGTTTCCGATACAATAATCGGACCTTTATTGGCTTCAATTCTGTTCCTTTGAATTTGCACGACATTTTCTTTATTCTTCACAATTCCAATGAACTTGCTTTCGCAAGCTTTAGTGGTGGTGTCAACTTTCACTGGAGCGGACATACCGAAAGCAGCCTTCGGAACCAATGCCTCACCCTTGTTCTTTTCAAACAGTGCTTTGCGATCGGCTAAACTTAAAAGAGCCGGGTCTTTTTGGGGCTTAACCGACGTTTCATGAGCCTTCTGCTCGAACATGGCGGCTCTATTTGCTATTGCTCCTGATTTGAAAGTATTTGATACATAATCTGGCGTGTTAGTTTTCTTATTTTGCTCTAAATATTTATCATCGTTTTCAAAATGTTTACCGGGAAGTAATTTTTCAGATGACTCATCTGGAATGTTGCCTTGCTCTTTGAACTGCGCATCGGATTTGACTTGGGCGTCATTTCTTGTAGAATTCTGTGAATTATACGCGTAAACTAATCGCGAAGAGGATTGCGTCCTGCTAAAGCCTTGTGATTCCTATAAATAACATATACAACGTTTAAGATTTTATCTCTAGCTCATGAATATTAGATAAACCCAGTAAAAAACATTAAATGGTATGGTTTTTAACTTAGATCCCTTCAGTTAATTTCGAAGTTAAACAAAGTATCGAAGGGGCGTAGAATTCATTAAACGCATCCTTAAAGTACTCAAAAATAATAACAATAGTAACTAAAAATAGGAGTTCTAAACTGCACAGATTAATTAACACGCGCCGTTTCAGTCTCACATTCAGTTTATAGTCTTATTTCAAAAATGTTTTAATATTTCTAGTAAATTTTCATAAAAAAATATTTGGTTTTTATTGAATGTTCTTTTAGTATTCCCTGTCTTTAAAGTAGGTTACTATAAAATAAAATTCCGAGATAAAATTTAGATTTTTGCTTATCATATGCAAAATATTGACCAATTAGCTTGGCAAGTATTCAGTTAAATCAAAAAAAAATATAGTAAAAACTTACCAAACTATCCAATACTTTTTTGTCCCAGCTAATACGTTTCGGTGTAGCCTCACTGTTAGACGGCTTTTTAACTCCTCCAGCCTGTCCTGATTCTGGATTATTTAAGAAACACTTAATAGCACTTTGCGTTGTTTCTGAAGCAGAGTTTTGACTAGTTAGTACTTCTTTGCCTGGACTCTTCCAAACAGCAGAAGATTTTTGATCGTTCGTAAAATTATTATTGGGTGGGCTTGGGGCTTTGGCCTTTCGGAACTTAACGGGAGAACATTTTGTCGGAGAGAGATTCCCTCGTTCGATCGGCGGTTGAGGTGCTGGAGCCTTCAGGTTTTTCTTTGTTGGAGACTGTATATGTTCAGTTGAAAAGCCCTAAGAATTAATTATAAACAAACAAACCCCGATAGTTAGTGACAAAGACTTACATGATGACTCAAATCGTCTTCCCATTGATTTATATTGTTTGCCAGCTCCGCTAGTTTGTTAAGGCCTTTCTTAGGCTTTTCATATCGCCTGGGATTGTCTTTTTCTCTATCATTCGCTATGCTTTCGTAAAATTTTGCCTCTGTTCGGTGAATAGGAGAAGATATATCTGCTTCATCTCCACCTAAGTAAAAATATGTAAATATGGGATTGCAGCCGTTGAAGGGCAAGTAAGTTAGTTTCAATGAGTATCAATCAGACGACTAAGCGGTAGACCAGAAGTAAATTAGCACAGAAGATAGAAAGCACACCAATGGAAAACAAGTGTGGATAGAATCCAATCCGTTCCAAATGCAGTTAGGAAAAATATACCTGCATACAGTTTTCCCAGCCTTTTCAGTCTGTGTTTAGACTCTTCCCTCAACCCAAAATTCTCATTACTCCCATTATTTCCATCGTCGCTACATTCCTCAATGGCAACCTCCAGCCGAACATTATCGGCACTATTTACTTTAATTTCCATGTTGAAACTGTCCCTTTGAATATTCAAAGTTTTGGTCTGTTGACCGGGTGAGCCTTGAAGTTCAGAACACACCAGCGTTATTGAATTATGACTTGGAAAATAGCCTGAAATCGCTTTGTATAGGTGTCGACTCTTGTGATTTATATGCATGGTATTGCCCATAGAAACCTCAGAAAATCTTTGAATGTCAACAATTTTTTTCTCTACTTAATATTTTAAAAACTCTCTAATAAATTAAAGTTTTTAAGTAAACTTTGTTTTGTGTGTAATCATGTGCTTTTCCAAAGAAAAAAATATTTAAAAAGCAGTACAATATACTAAAAGAAAAACTAAAACATTAACAAGTGAAAGCAAAGATTTTCTGATCAAATAAAATATGTTCCAGAAGGCACTATCAGAGTTGGAAATATCTCAATTATCGAAACATTCCTGTTGAAAACTTCAATACAGAAGCGATTTTCCATAATTTACACTTTTCGTAACTGCATGTCAAATTACTGATGTACAACTTTTTATGTTACATACAAAGCCACAACCAGATAATTGATTTTTTCAGAAAACATGTAATGCTTACTTAGTTCTTTGGTAATGTCTTGAATCCAACTCTGATTTATTTTTAAAGGCGAGCCATGCCAGTCTCAACGAGTTCATCAAAGAAATATACTAAAATTGAAAACACCCGTAAAAGCAAAATCAGGCTTGAAAAATTCCAAAACCCACAGTCTTTCAATCTCTAATAAGCACACTGACACACAATATTCATGCAATGTTTTCCGCAAGGAAACCGTTTTCTAAATATGAAATAGTCCGATTCTGTTTAATAATCATCTTTGTAAATTATGTACCCTCTCCAAATTTTGCAAAGATTTACATTGAACGGAAACTTGTCAACCGATTCAGATTTATTTGAAACTTAACAAAGTGCGAAAAATTTTACTATAATTTCACTTCCGAGCGGAATAGAAAAATTGGGACCTGAGAACCATTTGCTTATTATAAAATAGGGCGCCAGCAAGGCACTTCACCTGATCCCTTACTTGGAATCGAACGCTAGACTCAAACAGAATATTTTACCCTGAAAGAAACAAGACGCTTTCAAAAAGTAACATTATTATTTTAATGAAACGATTTGTTGATATAAAGGGTGGACCATATTATTCGTCAAATTATAATTTAGAGATGAGAACAAGAAAAAAATCAAATTTTTTGCTATTTAATTTTATTCACGTGATGTGAACGTTTATTCCGATTAAGTATGAAAAAAAACTTTTAAATAAGTATTTTATTTAAGTGGCCTCCTCGGTCGGTTCGGAAATAGCCCATTCTGGAACACTATCAAGTCAATTTTCAAACACTATCAATAGTTTACTGTTCTATTTGACCGATTTGAGCTTGAATGTTGTCTTCTCAAGTGGGCAATTGCATGAGGATTGTTCGTATAAACTTTGTCTTTCAATGCGTCCCAACGAAAGCAGTCCAGGTGTGTTAAATCGCAACTGCGAGCTGGCCAATCGACTTATCCGAAACCGCTAATTACACGATTGGGAAACTTCGAGCAAAAGGTATGGTAGGTGTACACACAGACGCTGTAAGTTTTACATAAATAAAATGTTGATCCAAATTGAAACGATACATATTCTGATAGCGAAAAGATAACACTAAAATATTGTCAAAAAATCATGGCGTCAAAGTCGACAACCTTAATAATACCACGTAGTTTAAAGTTCAACATCGTCCACCCTTTATATCTGTATTGAGGAAATCCCAACAAATTTGGTTGAAAATTCATTATGATACGGATTTTTTAAATCTTAAATCAGCATCTAACTAAATTAATTCAATTTTGAAAATAATTATCAATGAAAACAAAGTTTTTCAACTCAAAGTCAAGCATGACCTGCCCACTACTCGACTAACAATTGTGCCCACTTTCTGATGATATTGCCATCATGGCTTCTCATGTTAGCCCAACTGCAGCCTCCAGAAATATGCAAATCAATTTAAATGAAATAGAGGCCTGAGTTGAAAATGTGGAGTAAGAGTTAACAAAACAAAGTCGGTTTTTGGGATGTTGACCACAAAAAGAGACAAATTTACTACAGTTAGCCTTAACAATAGTAAGCTACCACAAGCCGAAGATTCAAAATACATTGAATGCATTTAAAATGGGGCAAGCATATTCATACAAAGCATGAACAGCTCAGCCTATGATTGAATAGTAATGACTTATTCGACGGACACCGAGACTAACAATGAGATCAAATAAATATCTTAACAAAATGATGCATATCCATATCACAATCAGTTAAAGTAGAAATATACCATGTCGCAGATGTTTTCGATTTTTTCGCAGAGAAAAAAAATCTAAATTATTTGATTATTATGTTTAATTTTGTAATGCTTTTTATATATATTCGTTTTATTGTCAAGATCTAAAATATTTCTTCCAGCTAGCTGCAGATATATCTAAAACTGATAATTTTTGATTTGTGATAATCTTCGAGAATTGTAGTTTCCTCGAGAATTACTTTTACAGAGAAAAGATAATAATTGTAAGAATTCCTCCCTCAAAATTAGCAAAGGAATATCTACAATTTTTTCGGTAAATTTTCCCAACTGTGTTTTCAGAGAAACAGTAAAATTTTATTTTAGGTTGTTTACAAAAACCATTATTTAATAGATTATTAATCTTCTAAACGTACAACGTACAATCTAATGTATGAAATGTAAGGACCTAAAACAAAAAAACAGGATATTGCGATGTAACAATAATATACCGTATCAGATACTTAGAGGGGACACTTGGGATATTTGGGAGAAGAGCCAATTGAAAGGTATGTTACCACGAAGAGTTAATAAAAATGGTTTTATGGGATAAATACCAAGGCAAGAATATCACCGACTCTCGAGCTCCATTATAAATATGTTGAAAATTACTACATTTATCAGAAAATAGTAGATTCCACTAGATCTCGGATGAATTAGTGATAAGAACAATCAAATTATTAGTGGTACCACATTTAAGTAAAGGTTATATATTCGTTAAAGTGATATAGGCGATTGCTGACGTCGAAAGGATATGTAATAGCTATGAGGCCATGCTTTTAAGACAAAACAATTTTGATAGGGATACACAGGTGACGGCATTCAAAAGCTTAAAAAGCTCATCGGTTGTTCCCACTGCATTGACGAAAGTTTGAATCAAGGAAATGTAATTGGTTCATTGAACACACAGTGCCTCTAGTGTAGCAGTACGTAATTAGCATATTTACTTCGCTTCTTATAATATTCGCCCTAATCATCAGAATATTTACTTCATTTTCGAATTCTTTTCATTCATAAATATTTGTTGCAACGTCGTTCGGATTCGATATTGAGATCGAACGAACGTCGCATTCTGTTATCATTACCACAGCAATTTTTAACTCGATTAAAAAATAATTCGATTATTGCTGCCACTGCAGAAAATTATAGCTATTTTAACATCTAAAATAGTGAAATAAAATATTTATGACCCCATTTAAAAATTTATACACAGCACAAATTTTGAAAATAAATTGAATGGTATGTAGGTACATACTTATTATAAAATAGTGTAATGTTTGAAAGGGGGTTGCTTTTTGAAAAGCCGAAAAATTACAATAATAGGTATTCCGTATATGAAAAATATATAAGATTTATTGATAGTTGTGATTGGCAGAACAGAAAATATAAGCTTAATCGACCACTGCCCGTCCGATTATTCTTATTTTCAATGCATTGGATTTCTTGAATTTCCAGGTGAGCCGAGTGCCCCAGAATTCCAGAATTCTGGGACAGTTCTGATTGATAATACTTTTCATGAAACCCTGTATAGGCATGTATTTTCGTATTAAGTCGGCCATGAATCTATAGCTCCAACAGATCCCTAGATTCGGGAATCTGGCCCAAAGGGACAATTGTTATCACTGCAAGACCAAAAAGTAGAATTTTTGATATCACCCCGTAAATAGAAGTGTTTGGAGAAAAATTCAGAAACCGTTTCGAGTAATGACTTCCATCTTTATGCAATTGATCATGAAATCCAAAAAACGTTTGTTCAACAGCCTAACTTTTAGAAGTTTTATTTTCCACTCTCTAGGAACTTTCCGAAGTACTTACGAACCTTTGTAAAAGTACGGACTGAGACCCTGCAATATTTATTTTGCTGAACGGTTTAAATATTTGAAAATAGTCAAGTAGCACCGGCAGAACAGGTAATGGACCTCTTTATCGACAAAGTTAAATTGAAAAACACCAATTTACAGAACAGATCAGGGCATATACCTAAATATCCTTTATGATGCAAATAATAATTGAGGAATATCAGACATTCTGAAGTTCCACTAAAAACACACGTTTTTAAAGTTTAATACCTTCAATAAAAAATTAGTTTCCATTCCCTATAATAATACTGCTAGCAGCATGTGTTATCCGTTTAGGCGGCACAAAAATAATCTCTAGACATTACAATAAGTACTGAAAATCCTGAAAACATCGCAAATAGTAAGAAATAAAAATTCCTAATGATCAACTAGAAAACGCAGACTAAGCCAAAAATGCAGTGGTTGAAAAAATCGACTTAGTGTCTAATAAGATGCTGCTGCATAAAACCAAGCAAGAGAAAACCATTCCAAAATCTCTATTTACAAACAGCTGATACACATATATAAAAACGATAACCATCATTTCGATATATGCACAACATGCCGAAAAATGTATGCGAAAAATTACCTTCCAAAGTTCCTTCCTTCGCCTGAGACAGCTTGTAAGGAATACTACTTTCAGAAGCACTTTCTCTTGGTGGTATCTTCTTAACTTCAGTCAGATCAGGCTCAGATACTGCATTCTTATTGCTTTCACGTAATGGGGACACCTTTGCATTAGGAGCGCCTTGCAGCAGCCTCTGGCGTTCTCTAGCTCGAGCTAAAATGTTCTATACACAAAGATTTGTTAGACTTTTAGCTATTAATAACTGATTCTCGTGTTCTTTTTTCACAACTTTACGTTATACTTTACCTCAGTAAATGCATCCATATTTCAACGAGTGAAAAGTCTACTATGCTTATCCTGTTCACAATATCAATTAACGAATGTTCTATACAATTCTGCTTAAAATAAAATTGTTTTTGAGCTATTTTCTACCACAAAAAGAACACCTTCGGCCTTTGTAACGTTTTCTTAGCACAAACAAAGCCGTTTGCATTGGTTTAGATGCCTGTCAAATTTGAAAACGAAGTAAATGACGGAATAGAATTTGAACGGTCAAAATGAACGGAAATTGGTCATAACCTACAATATTAAATAAATTAAATATATATTTGCTATTTTAGATCAAATAAATATTACATACAAATAAAAATTTGTAATAATGGTTTAATAAAGCACTTTTACGGATATTTTTTCCTTGTCTTAAATAGTAACTTTCGAAAGTTCGAAAAGCAATGTTGCCGTAAATGTGACAACGTTCAATAATTTTTAAGGGTCGCAACTTTAACCTCACATTGCTGTTTTTCTAGGGTTAGGTGTCACCTTTCGTGAGATCATTTGTTAAAAGAACGATCATTATTAAGAGAAAATGAAGCTTTTTGCAGCTTTGTGGAGAAGGAAGCATATGCCCCCTGGTCACATATGGAGAGGCAAGCATCGGTTGTACAAAGAAGTCACATCTATGCATCTATCACAATTAAAAGATAACCTTGCCACAGAAGAAAAGAATATGTTCTACTTGAGACATGCCTTTATAACTCCTGTAAGTGCTCAAATTCATTTTAAGTCCATTGAAGCTATCTAAAAACTTGTAGAAATGAATTAGCTGTTTATCCAAATTTCAATGATCGTATTAATAAATGCAGTATTAATAAATGCAGTTTACATAAATAAATGTAAAGAGTTCACTGTTCAATCTGAGGCAATTTAAACTGATTGGTTCATTAATATCATTCAACAAATGTTTATGTAGTCCCGGCACACCTTGCTTGAAACTAAAGATTAAATTCCTACTTATTGAAAAACGTAAAAAGTACTTCGTCTCAATAAGTATATTAAGTACCTATCTATACACGAATATCATGTTTAACTAATAGTTAAAGTTTGAAGCGAATTTGTTGCTTTAGAGTAGGTACTGTGTAAAAATTGTTAAAAATATATTAACTTATTCTTCCGTGTATAATAAAACTGCGGGTTTCAACTTACTTCTAACCATTTCACGTAGCAAACAAAAACTATTTAATTTACCTTCAAACCGCCAGCCAGACTAACTTTAAAACTTTATATCGCCAATAGCTCATCGCATTCTTATTTTAATAACATTTCTTCAAATAGAGAATGAATGTGAGTAAGTAAAACCACGATTGCAATAAAAAAAACTTCATATTACTTAGATTGAGATAATGCTTTTATCATTTGAGGAGCAAGATGTCGAAACACATTATGAGCCATATACGTAAAATATGTCAAACCGCCAAAAAACAATCACTTTTTAGTTCTTTCAAAGTACAAATATTACGTTCAGTACTTTTCTAAGTGACATTAACTTATTGTATTTTAATAAATTAAGACAATAGAAGTCAAAAAGCTTTTAGTTGTGCTTCAAAAAACAGAAACATTTTAAGCTAGAAATCAGTAGATAAAAACCTTTGAAGCTTCATAACAATTGGTCAAGTACAAAACATACTTCAAATATAATTCAATGTTTAAATGAATTTAATGCGCTTTTCCGCCTCGAGCCCATCGCAGTGGTCATTAACTTTTCTTTTTGAAACATCTGAAGTAATTACCGATTAAGTTCCATTAGCACTTAGGGTAACGAATACTCCAAGCGAATGACAATCAACACCTCGAGAGTATAATAACTCAAAGTATTTTAAATTAACGTAATACAAATCAATACTTGGACGACGGCCTATTTCAATATTGATCAAATTATGTGTTCCATTTGTTTGAAGCTTGTGATTGTTTAGGAACAATCAGCGGGACACGCAAGAGCTCTCGGCAAAAATCAAATGAACTATGTTAAAACGATGACGAAACGAAAGGAATATTACGAAAATGTTTCAATCGAATCCAGATTAGGACACCTGAGAGTTAATGAGGGATGGGATTAAGTACTATCCCGTCGTATTTGTATATTTTTTGTGTAGATTTGGTAGTCCAGTAGCAAGATACTTTATATACATTTTCCTTCATGATCGGAAATAAATGGAATAATAAAATTGTTGCAAATAAAATGTGTTTGCCTTCATGTAATATGTGTTTTTTTCTTCATCCTAATGGGACCATTAAATTAAACCAAAAAAATGCTTTACTATTCTTTATTGCAATGCAATGGAAGAAATTGAAGACTTGTCAATTACCTTTTGCTCTCACATTTAATAAAACTCGTTTAATTAAGACTCAGTAACTAAACGTTGAGCATTGGAAGTAATAATAAGCCTTGGTAATAATCCAGAGCTATTAATCCTATTTGCATTTAAAGAAAATGTCTGTATTTATCACGATTCAGATAATGCTCTTGTATCTTCTCTTGTTTAATAAACGTGTGCCGGATTTGAAAGTACGGGCAATTTGCCTCCTTTTATCAGTAGTGATTCTACTTCCAGGAGTCTCCATAAATACCTAAACATCTTTATTTAATTGAGTATTAATTCAAAAAGTTTCAGAGTTTAAGAGAAGAAATGTACCAACAATGATAAGTGTGCTTAGCATTTCCTTGTTTGATTAATTTTTCTTGTGCTTCTCGCTAACATTACATAATAAGTACGCTCAACTGGAAGCCGACATATTATCTAATATACATTAGCATTACAATTTTACGTTTTTGCTTATCACAGATAAATATGAAAACTTGCTTGAATCGTTATGCAATAAACAATCACTGTATACATATTTTTAGGTGCAATAAATAGTAAAATTTATATAAGTTGTGCATTAAATGCCATTTTATTCTATGATATAGGATGGTCGATAATTTATAGAAGCTAAGAGAATATAAACCAAATAAACCTAGTCTAAAATTAAGGGCATTAATTCAATGAAGCGTTTTGTGTAAACGGCGCCAGTGAAAAAGCACTTTTAGCTAATTCTGGTCGAGGTTTACCTGGCCTTATCGTTAATGTACTTCGAACAAATACCTACTAACTAAACACTGCACTTATCTAAAAACATTTTCTTGATTCCGATAACGGTTTTCAAATAAAGCAGCCATATTAAAAAGGTATTAAGGGGCTGATTTTAACGGCTATTGAAATCAAATCAAATATATCTTATGTTTGATTAATTGCAATTTATGAATTAATTTTTTTGGGTATTATAGATTTTAGTTTACGATTTGGATTTCAATATGTGATTTTATGTAACATATCCCATTTGTATTAGCTCTTAATTATTTTGATTTTTTATATGAATTAGTGAATATTAGAAACTTCTGTACTTACTTCTAATCGAGCTATGACGATTAATTCTTAAGGTTACGGGTATGGTTTCTTCATCGGGGCTTTTACCAGTAAAATCTAAAAAAAATAATGAAAACAAATAAACGAAATCACTATGTGAAACTAGGTACACTATAAAAATAAAATACTATTATTTTATATATCAAAGGGTTAGATATTATTCATATACATTTACTTGTATTTTTTGATGATGTTTGAAAGCAAGAGGCGTATAAGGTTATAAACTTTTATAAACATCATGCAGTAATGATTCAAATTGTCAGCTTTTATCGTGATATATCTAGTAGTTTGTGAAATTAAATAATAGAATAAGATATCATTCAACTTTACTTTGAAAGAAATGAGAATTTTTTGCAATATTAATCGGCCTTTGCATGCAATTCCGGAGTCATTTAATTCGTGTGCCAATTTTGTTTTAAAAATGTTGTCCATGAAGTGAAAGCTTTGTAAAACTAGAACCAGCCAAAATGAAAATTTCAGGTCTGTTTAATAAATTGTCGTTAATAGGGCCGTTTTCTCTGTCAGCTTATCTATCTACCGTCTAAGTACCGTTAGTTTTGTCTTCCGTTAATCTAAAAACTGGAATGGTAAACAGAAAGATCTTAGATTATAAGTACATTTTTTCGTCATCCCCAAATGAAAATAAAATACGTGTTTAGGAAGAAACAACTTGCATGCGTGTTTTTTGGTGCTCTTCACTAATAGACTTTATTTTTATTAACGACTTTTGATTTCACTTGGTTAATCTCGCAAGATTTTCTTGATAAGTTTGATTGATGATTGGTAAGTATATTTTCGGACAACTGCAACGAACTTTTCAAGCAAAAAAATCGAATCCCGTCTAAGGCGGTATTTTTTTTTGTTTCGCAACGCAGAAGCTTAGCCGTTAAAAGCCTTTTAAAGCAAAGTAATTTCAGAGCTAAATGCTGGTTCAGTATAACAACACTTTGCGGGTATGACTTCGGTTGAGCATTTTATCTACTTGCAATAAGAAATTTTCTACTCGCAGAGTGGATGTAGCAATAGATTTGTTTTTGATTGTTGATCGAAAATGCAAAATACGCAAGCTTAGGTAAGCACGAGTGGGGCGAATTAGAATATATTATTTTTCAAAGCGATGTTTGACAGAAATATAATTTAAATTTACTAGTTTATTTAAGGTCCAAGTATGATTTAACAGATGTTAAAGATTTGTGTAATGTTTTTCACATCAGTAAAATCCAATTATGTGTTGGTTAAACAATCAAACTTCTATTATTTTTCCAATCTAACTGCAAGTTTTACTTGGACTCAATTAATATCAATTGCTTTGTTAAAGTGTTATTTCAAGATACGTCATTTTTAATATGTTCGATTAATATTTATGATTAATCTTTTACCTACTGAGCTGCACCCCTAGTTTGCACCTACTGGGTCTACTTTACTATGTGGTCCCGACTGTGTTCCTAAGTTTAAAAACGTCTAAAAACATTTATGATTTGGTTGATTTTTAGTTCACCTCGATTTGCTCACAGGAAATACATCCTCATAATAGAGAAGTGCCTTTAAGTCTTTTGTTCATTTTCTCCGTGTATTACTAAGTGAAAAAAAAATAAAATAAAATAAATGAAAAACTGTTTAATTGGTAGAAAAAAATCAGCAACACAAAGTAAAAAAAATAGGCAAAATTAAGTTACAAAATATACTATCTATAATATTGGCCCAATAATACAGAGATCTGAAACAGTAACTATTATAAGTACAGAAAACTTTTCAGAAGCAAAAATTTTATTGGTGCAAGACAGGCTTTTGGCTGTGTCACAAACAATCATTTTCAAGACCAGTTTGGGAGTCAATAGCTGAGTTTAGCTGGCAAATGAATTAGAATGTTACTCCCATTGAAGATTTGCAGTAGTTGCTATATAATAAAAACATAGCTAAAAACCTGTGCCACGCATTTATGCCTGAGTAATCATTTAAAAACGATTTGATTGTTGGTTAAATAGGCTGTGTAATGCTTGGGAAAAGTTGCTGTTAAGACAAGTAAAATAAAATTGGGTACGTAATGGTCATACCGACCTAATCCAATTGGAAAACCTTTAAGATGGCCAATCTGCTCTAACGCAAAAGCGATTCAAATTGCACTATTTAAATGAGTCACGGCCTATGAAACGCGACGCAGAACTAGCAGCTGCACATCTTACATATATTCTAGATGTCGAATTGGTAGGCCATTCTAAAGGTTTATCTCTTGCATTAAATTCTCTTGTTCATCTTTGCTGTCGGTTTTATTTGGCAAAGTCCCCCTATTCTTTTGATTGTTGTGTTAAAACCATTTTCCGTACAAATTCTGAGATGGTACTTTAAAACCAACTCATAAAGCTGCACTTTGCCAATTATCCTTCGCTTTTACATATACCGTTTTCAACTGAAATCTAATAAAATTCTGAAATGCGCTTATTAATTAATCTTAAATTGAACTAGAAAATATAAGTATAACAGCCATTTAAAGAGATTCCTAGTCTCTCAGAGACGTTAAGTAAAAACCTAAAAAACTAAACAGATCATATCACCGCCCCTGTGATGTTTGTGATTTCTTCGAATTCGATGTTTCTCCAACTTTATTATCTGATCTACTGCTTTGATCATCGCAGTGTTGTAATTTATCATCGGCATTTTGAGTCCCGTTGAACGTTTGAGATGTGGACTGAACAACTGATTTAAACATGTCCTCTTTCACATTTTGTGCTTTAATGTTCAGGTCTATGGTTGAGTGTGTTGTTGAATCTGGTTTTGCTCCAAGTTTTGAAAAATGATCTGATTCGGTTAGTTTATAGCATTCAACCGATAGGGTAGAAGTGCGAGACAATTCTCCGTGTTTTTTGGAAACTGCTTCAGTTTTCTTCGCTTGCGGTCTGCCTCGGGGCAATATTTTGGAAGAAGAGTTCAACTCTTCTCCATTGGGATCTATAGAAACCTCCTTAACGGATTCTAGGTTTGATTCAACCGATTTCTGTCGCCCTTGCGCCCAATCGTAGGAATCAGGGGCCGAATTTGAACGTCCTGAACGCCCCAGATGTTTTTTCGTCGCTCCTGTTAGTGAAGTGTTGCGAATTTCTGAAGATCCCAACGTGGTTTCTCTTCGGTACAAGAAGGGATTCTGCAATTGAAGCGCATTAATAACAATTTGGTGCAAACTAAAATAGTTACCTGGAAGGAATGTTTTTTGAGCATGTGCTTGATGAGGATCAGCGTGTCCAGCTTGGGTATTGATGTTATCACTCTTGCAACGTCTTCTTCAGTGACTTCAACGAGATGGCAATTTTCCTCTTCGGAAGGAAGAGGATGACGACCTTGCTTAGTCACCCATGGATCATCCTATTTGTTAAACATTTTGTAAAGTAAGTAAAATGCATCGAAAAAGATTCTGGGCTTGCCTTAATTTCAGCTATTGTTATTCTTTTGGATGGGTCTTTCACTAACATTTTGCTAATCAAGTTTTTCAACTCGGCAGACAGCGCTGGATTTTCTGGAAATTCTACTGGTTGGTGCCGAATTTTTGAATACAGGCCAATAACGTTTTCATCATGAAACGGAACGCGTCCATATACAAAAGCGTATAACGTAATGCCCATTGCCCAAATATCTGTACACTGAAAACAAAAATTGCTGTTAGAAGAACTTTTTTAATGTCTATAGCAGGAAAACTGTTGGTAGAAGAGAAATCGGCTCATTAGCTACCTTTCCGCTGAATCCAGAAGATCGCTCTTCACCAAGAGCCTCCGGAGGTGTAAACGCTGGTGTGCCAGCGGTACTGGATAAAAATGCATCCGTTCCATGAAACTCATTGCAAACTCCGAAATCGGTTATTTGCACTCTGTCTTCATCGTTCAAGAGAAGATTGGCGGGTTTGATATCTCGGTGGATTATTCTTTGAAAGTGTACTGGAAATTAATCACTAGCTAAATTTATGTAAAGTTTCACCATTTATAATGGAATGTAGAATTCCGAAAGTAAATCGGAGATCGAACTAAAGGCAGGTAGACGGCATTTGCAAAAAATCACCATATATTTTAATAGATCGACAGAAATACAGTAATCAATTGTTAATTTAGTGTCTAATTTTGCAGCTTAATTAATCATTGTTCATTGAAACCCTACAACCATAACAATAATATCCTGCTTAATTATTTATGTACTTTTACAAGCTCTGATCTATGCAATTTCTCGAACTGAATTTTGTCTTTTTATAATAATTTAATTTAAATATATTAACTCCAATCCAGGAAAAAATAATTACCCTCCAAAGTACTCGACCAAAATAAAATCCTTTTAAGTATAAACGACTGAACCGAATATAAATTATTTTTCATGCCAAATGGGACTGTTCGAAATGCGAATTGGAGAGGATTTAAATATTTTTTTTCGGGAATTTGCTGCTTTAGATAAAATTGATAGCTTTCAATTCTAACTGTTTGTTTTTGAAGAGATATCAAACTAGTAAATTTTCGCATTTTTATAAATCCTTTATACGATAGAAAATATTAGAGGTTTTAAAATAATATTCATTTATTGAATATAGCATTTCCCCATTTCCATTTTTTGTAAATTTTTACGCTAAGCTCAACGCTCTACACTAACGTTTCTACTGCAAATTTCGGTTTAATTCGCATTTTATGATGAATTAATCAAGCGTATGTTAGCATGCATATACTCGTAATCATTTACAATAATTTTTTTGCGATTTCATTGATGATTTGTTCACAATTTAGCTTAATTTCTACACAACAGTGTGCTAAACGTTGAATATCCGAGACAGAAGATTAAAATCAATGGGCTAATGAAAACAATAATTATTTTTACAGCAACATTAACAATTAGGAAAACAATTTCAATCAATTTCAGTTGCTATTAGATGCCGGCAGGTTTTTAGAAACGATAGAAAATTTACCGACAAAACGTTTAAACAGCTTTCGGGAAAATTGATTATTGAATTTATTGCGCAAATATATGCGAACCTGGTTGCTTTTAAACACACGCTATAATTGAAAATACTGCCTAAATTATTTAATGGCAGTATAAACTGCATTGCGATTTAATAATAAACAGATTCAGTTTCATAAATTCGTTAAAAGGGTTTAGATGCGATTGACGGAATTCTAATAGTTATAACTTTGGCAAAATAAACAAAGGAAGTAGGAAGGAATTAAATAAAAGTTCCAATTAAAAATTAATTAATTACAGCCATTCAGCAAACCTGTTGAAAATTGGGTATGCACCAAATGATTGTTATCTAATAATCAACTATCTAAAAAGTGAAGAAAACGGGCAGTTGAAAGTGAAACAAATAGAAAGGATTGGAATTGAATTGAAATTTAACAAGCGCGGAAAAGAATGATAACGAATAAACACTCTCATTTTCTAAGAGAAATGAAAATCGAAATAGCAATAAATTAAACTTTTGCTTGGTTGTAAAATAATTTAGAATTCACCATTGTTGATGATCCAGTTTTTATACGCACACAAACTATAAAAAAACATAAATGCGTGTAAATATTATATAGAGGACATTTAAATCTCTTGGTGACTCTTTGTCAATTGGATAATTTGCAAACTTTTGAGTCCGCAATTTCACTTACAGTATTCGATTCCTAAAACAACGTCTCTAAAGTAGTTCCAAGCCTTTTCCTCGTCAAGAGGTTGTTCTGTAGGAACCTCCAGGACTTGTCCTCGATCTAAGAGTTCGAAAGCTAAGTATAAATGGTCCTCATCAGGGTCATCAAGCACCTAAAGATATAAACCTTTTGTATTGTTTTCCTAATTATGTTTTGCTAGTTCCTTTTATTCTATTTCTAACATTAACATCGACCTGAGATTGTCAAATCAACTAACTGAAATGATGAATTATCAAGGAATTTGAATATTTCCAAGCAAATGGCTCAAGCTGAATTGTGTGAAAAAGAACAACGCCTTGAAGTTTTAATCTGAAATGGAATTGATTTTTACCTCAACTAATTTAACTATATTAGGATGGTCCAGTTTTTTCAAAATAGCAATCTCCCTATAGACTTTATCTAATGGATGATTGACTGGCGACGAATTCGGCTTGCTGTCTTTTTTCGGCGGTGGCATTCTTCCAAACATTCCTGCTTTCTTGAAAAGCTTCTTCTTCGACAATATCTTCATCGCCTAAAATTAAAGACCCTTTTAACGGTGGGTGGAATCCAAGTTTATTAGTCGGTAGATACTATACTATAAGTATTTTAATAAAATAAATCAGTTTTATTCCAGTATCTTAAGCTTAATGCAATTACAGTCGCCACCGACTACAGATGGGATGGCTCAAAGAACGTTTCCTCAACTTATTCTCAAGAGAGCACGTTTTATAATCTTTAGTGGGTCAGCCAAGTATAACGAATCGATATCACACAGATACGGCGTTAAATCATATCAAGTGTGCATAGAATCATTATAGAATAATGTTCGGTTTTATTCAGAGGCTTTGAAACATAAAAGCTTTCAAGTTTAAATATTATCAGGTCAAAGTGTTAGTGAAACTTTGTTTAACATTTCAAGGGACAATTTACCAAGATATGAGAAAACATGTAAAGGATCTTTCATCCAATGGTATTTTATTAAGAAAGGCCATTATTTTAAGTACTCACGTACACTACGATTATTTTTATAATTTCTTCCATTCCACACAAAAACTTGTATGTTTTTGCGATTATATTTTCGCTGATGGTCTTTACAAAGTTTGTAAAATAATAAAAGGACTACCTTGTGCGTTCTTGAAGTGGAACATAAGTATGGCTAAAGTAGGGACAATTTATCTAAATGCTGGGAGAAAACAGTATTTTGTGGATGACAATAAAAAGTCCAAGTGTCCAAAAATTAAACTTTTGCGCCTTAGGTTATCCTCCTAGGTTATCAAATTAGAAACTATCCATTTAAATGCAAATTCTACGCAGATTTAATTAACCTATGACTGTAATCTGGATGAATTTTTTACAGCTATTTTATTGAGTTTTCATATAACGTTTGTTTTCTCCAATAGAAATGGTGGTTCTCATTTAATCAAGTCGAAGCGCAAAATTATAGGACACATTTTTAAGTGGAGTTCAAGGCGAAATTTTAAAACAAATTTTAAGTATTAAATAATCCACAATTTTTAATTGCGAAACATCCGCTCTTTTTGGCCTGCGATATTAAAAAATTCCATTTAAATACTGAAAAAATTGACGACATTACATTTTTGAAATTAAGATTCAACAGTACGCAAATCCGCAAAGAGGCTTTGTAAAGATATTGCTTGTTTGGCAAAACAATGTTACTTTGGGATATTTTGCGAAAAAGTGAAACGTTCAAACTCATACGCATTTAGTTAAAACGTTAAATGCGTTAAGGCGTTTCATAGTCCGTAAAACAAAACTTAACTAGAAAAGTTGATAAATAAATTTTGTTTGGCAAATTTACCTATTGAATATTTATCAATAAAATGTTCATTATAATTTTATTGAATATCTTTACCGGCTTGACTTGAATTTCCTGAACATTAATCTGCAACCACTTAAATGAAATTACTAAAATGTTGAATAAACTTGTAGGTACTAAATTAATTAGGAATATCCATATATATATCTAACATGCAGCAAATTAAGCTTTTTTAAGTGATAAAAAATGAGCGGTAATAATCAAATTGCACAACACATTACTTTTCACACAAACTTTCAAGTAAGGCAGATTTACAACTAACCATTTTCTCGAGCAAATGAGTTAAGAAGTTAAATTCTTGTACGTATCAATTTTCTAATATATCATCTGGAAATTATTTTCCATAAATTACTGGAATAATTATATCCCGAGGAACTCGTTAAAAATTCATTAGTTCCGCTAGGACGGATTTATTTCGGAAAGAGTGCTCTTCCACAAAAGTTACAAAAATCCTCAAATTACACGACTGCTATGAAATAGATCTGGAAGCTTAGCTCATTAGCGTACGGTTACTGAGATTTTTAAACACATTTTTACTGTTTTTACTGCCATACCACACTACAGCCATAAACGTGTCGAAACAGAGCTTTTCATTAACACATGAATGTAATGTAATGTAACTCGAAAACAAGCCTCACAAAATTTTCGAAATGTTAAAATTCATTCTCTTTTTTTAAGATTCCAATTAGCCGATAACCACTAATGAAAGCGTGCTTAAAACCAATATAGATGGCGAGCTTAAAATAAGTAACTCAGGAATTTTATTAGCGTGCTCCTTGAATGTTATAAATCTTCATAGTATTAAATTTTACTTGACGGCATATGATTAGTTTACGTGACGCTTTGATAGGAAAATTATTGGCAATTTGTGGGCAACGTAGCTATACTTGTGAGCAAATTATACATTTTTTTCTACGTTAAAAATTTGTGGATAATTTTATCACTGACTATATTTGTATTTTGTGAAAAATGTTGGAGAAAAACATTTGTTTCTTTTCGACCAGAAGTAAACTGGCATTGAAATTACGTAATCAGATAAAAAACGAAAAACTGTTTGAACCTAGATGAGAAATTAATGCGTTTTTTAAAAGGCTAACTGTTTCCATTTTCCAATTGATTCTTGATAATGATAATATCGTTAATTGATAATCGTTTTCGACGTTTTTATGGAATTGACTGGCTTTTAGTTGTAAAACTGCTGAAATACGCTTTGGAAACAACCTCAACTTGAACGCTCAATAAAATATATTAAATAAATACTTGAATATACATTCCACTTACGTAATGGGTATCGTCTTCTTGGTTGTAAGCTAGCTTTACCACTCCATAGGAACCCTAAAAAATATTATAAATTATGTTATTGATAAATACATTTTTGTAATATTTACATCAAAGTAATTTTATAAGCTACTAATCAGTTTGTAAATAAAATGCATTAAATAATAAAGCATGATAAGCGCATTATTTTATCGTTTTATTATAAATACATTTATTTTTTGTCAAGAAGTTTTGATGTTTAAGAATCTAGTTCAGACAAGTTCAAAATTTTCCGTGAATAGGCAAAATATAAAATATTCATTTCGCTTTGCCACTGAAACCCGAATCGGTAAATTAAAAATTCCCCGCTTTAAACTTTTTCCATACTTGGGTAAGTAACGCAACATGAAAAGGTGACCGTTTTTCAAATAAAGACAGATGCTTGTTCGAATCTAAGAGCTACGTGATTTGCGGAGTTTTATCGAGTTTTCAAACTTTATTTGAAGTTCTTCTGCTCGTCGACGCTCCTTTGTCATCTTTGATCCGATCGCTCTTACGTCGATTTAAGTCGTTTTTGAATTACCTTTTAGCGTCAATTCCAAACAGAGTTGTAATTGGTTCTTGTTACTATTTGTGACTAATCTGTAATTAGAACCAATTTCTGAATATTGATTTTGAGTTAAATTTTGAAGTGACTTGGGCAAGTTTTTGACGAGTTTCTTATAATCTATAATCGAAGCTAAAAAGGAAATAATGTCAAGGTGCAAATATATATGTATGTATTTTAATTTCACCAATCAGAAGTTCAATAAATTTTAAAGCAAATGTAAGCAAATATTAATGAAACATTTGAAATGTACATTTTCAATATTTAGTTATTGCATAATACGTAGAAATTTTGATTTTCGAAAATTGCTCAGTATTTTTCGAAATTAAAACCATTAAGAATATGCGAATAGTTACATAAGACAAAACGAGAATTAAAACGATAAAAGCAATAATTTTTTTTTAATATAAACAATGTCAGAATTTAGTCAATTTTTTTAAAAACGTTAGGTATTTTTCCACCATCATCAGTTTGTTCGTCTAGGCAGTTCTTGTAACGCAAGTTTTGGGGAAACTGAGGAAACCCAGGAACATTGTTTATTTAAAATAATTTTTAATTAAACAATACAATATTAGTACTTAAGAATCAAAATTTCACCCAATCAGAAAAAAAACAAACGACGATTTAAAAAATATGAAAAACTGATAACGATTTATGCCAAGTTCCGTTATACCTAGATATATGAAATTACATATATTTTTAGAACGATTTTTGTGTAAATGTTACTTCAATTTATTAACATTTTAGAATTTGGAAGAAGTGAAAATAAAAGGAATTCGGAAGAGATATTTACATATAAAAAAAATGGGTGGCAAAAGTAACATGTCCTGTGTAAAGAAGGAACCCCCTTTAAACTGCGATCAACATTTAAATACTTCGTGTGTGTTTTATATTAATTTTAAATGTAGAACGCAAGAAACACCCTCTCTATAATATGTGGGACTTTGTTATTTCTAATTTATGAAGGAGGGAATGTCGGAATGGAGAGAACAATGTCGTTTCGAGAGTAAATAATTTAAGAACATGATATGCTTGCTTATCTTATAAGTAAATAATTCAACATGTCAACAAAAACAGTTATTTTAATGACTTAGTTGAGTCGTAATTTCAAAAGTTTCCTATAAATTAAGGAGAATATTGAGATGGAAGTTGGTAAAGCGTCTTGAGCTGTGCATTTTTGTTTTCCAGTCAATAGAAGGAGTTAACAGATAAAATTAATGGTGTGTAATACTGTAGAGAACAGTAATTAAACTTAGGCAGAAATTGTAAATAGCGCACAGGCTTTTGAAGAAAATAATCTTATTTGAATGTAAAAAATACGAGCTTAGAACTGTCTGTTCGTAATATTAGTATGGATTTTCCTATTGGCGATTTTCTTAGGCAGATACTTAAATTCGCAGCAAAGGATGAAGTTTTACTCCAAATGGGACTTGGAGACTAGAATATGCCAACTGCTGAGTTTAATATCACTTCCAAGTTTACTAAAAGTTTATTTGATATTGGATCTAATTGATCATAAAATGAAGCGGCGAATAAGTTCGTAACGACGGAAACTTCAATTTTGTTGGAAGTTTTCAAAGTTGGGTACGGAATTTCATATTATAGTGAATTTTGTGCGACTGTGTGCACCACCAGTGTCTTCAAACGCAAATCATATTATATGATTCAGTTGAACTTAGATAAGAGTTATTCAAGTGTGGAATATTGAGGTACTTTGAAATTTTAATAAATAAGATACAAAACAATTCATAGCAGAGAAAACACAGTACATAAAGCTCCATATAGGTTGATCCGTTTCCGATGCAATTTTTTGTGTCTTTAGTTGCTTCAAATACCTTGACAAATGGAAATTTGAAATAAATTTATCCTCGTCGCTAGATCCTATATCTTATTAAGATTGGGCATATTTTTATACTTAAAAAAAAAGTTTGTATGTACATCAAAAATTATAATTTAATTTAAAGGCGTACCTGTCCAATAGAATCTAGAAGTTTATACTGATTAAGCTGTAAATAGTGACCAAGCTTTTCAATTGACACCCTCCTGGATTCCCTAGGAGGTTGTCTTTTTCTGTTGCTCCGAGGCGAGTGCGTAGGGCTACCATAAGGGCTATAAGGGCAGTTGGGAAAAATTGGTCGGCCTGCTAGGGAATCTGATCCTCCTGTAAAATACAACTGGGTTTAACCAACAAGTTTTTGCTCATTTTACAGTAATCATGCTCTTTGTCTCCTAGTTATTATCATCTTTATAATACTTTTTATGATGCTATTCAATAACCTTTAGGTTTTGTTCTCCGTTTTCGCTTTGCATTGATTCCCTATGAAATATTATTTTCTATATCTATCAGAAATGTATTAAAGTTAGTTCGAGAGTTGTGCTAATCCTGTAGGTACATTATTTCACTACACTACACAAAAACGTTTTTAATGTTTTTGTCTATTGTGAAAAGAAAAATATCCCAATTAAATTTTGTGAATCGACCGAGCTAATTGACTCCTTTCGTTATTTTTTTGCGATTCTAAAAATGAAAAAAAATTACAGTTTCTATTAAATTGCAAGATTATCAAGCATCTGTTTGTCAATAGTTCAAACAACCAAATAAAATACGTAGAAACAATGTTGGAGGGCAAACTAACACAAGCACAACATATTAAAGGCAAGAACAAAGTTGTAATACAATTATATAAAAGATATACGATACAGATAAAATTCCTCAAATTATAGTTAACCCTATAACATAAAATTATAATCAGAAAAAGAACTGGTGAACAAACGGATCAGGTCACTAAAAATTAATTCAGCAGAAGCAGCGAACAAAAATAAGTGTCTTGCTTATCCAAAGAACAACAATAAAATATAATAATGGAAATGCATGTAAAAATAAGACCATCTGATTAATTCAAAGAAATATATTTGTATTTTGTCTTATCCCAAAACCGTTGTTCCAATGCCAATTTTAGAACCGCGAAACTTTGCTTTTAATCAACTTTTTTATGAGTTATTATATGTGCCATGTTTTAACTTAGAGGGCGAGCACATTTTGTTCGGAATTTCCCGGAATTATCGGGAATTACTTGGGATTATTCAGCATTACCTGTTATTATTCCGTTTTATCCACCGGAATTGGAAGTTTTTTTTGCGTTGCGACCGCAGATTTAAGTGTTTAATTTTCAATCAAAGGAGAACAAATTTTGGAATACATTATTTACTACTTATCATGTATTTTTCAATTAGGTTGTTCGTCTGTATGTTTTTTTGTTTCGCCCAAAATTTGCTCAGTTTAAGAAATACTTTGCGAAATTTGAACTAGCATTCGCTTGAACTAAACTTTTGTTTCAAGAAATACAGAAGTAATCCGTGAAAGTCTGCTGAATTCTTAATCAGATATTAAACGTTTTATAACAGTTGCGAAATAAAATAAAATACTTTTTGCACGGCATGAACCTGGAAAAAGTTTAAAAAATATTATCAAATGCTTAAAATGAAATATAATGTATTGCTTCATTTCGCGCATTAGTTCATTTATAATTATTATCATTTGAATTAATTAAATAAATCAACTCACAACACTTTTACCAACGAGAAAAACAATGCAGTAACACTGCGTTTGCTGGCTGGTATAAAATATGATTACATTTTAGTTTCACCTTCTACCCCTGAACAAATGAAAAAAATCAGAAAAATGTTTTCAATGAGTTTTACGAAACTTGCTGTGCGCTCTAACAATGTTACGGAAAATTAGTTAAGTATTTAAAACCTTCAAAACACTGTAGTAACAAAGTATGGAAGATTTTTGCTTTACTGTAAAATGAATAAGAATATGTAATAGCAAATATAATTTCTTGGGGATTTTTTATTGTTGCTATTGTTTAAAGAAGGTTTTTTTTCAATAAACATTTTAAAAGACTCCAAGTGGCTAATTATTAACTACTGAAATTTATTTAGAGGGAGAACGAAAATTCTTGGGGCAGAAGTGAGGGTGAGTATAAAGAAACTATGGTTCTCTGTCGATTCAAGAAAGTTTTTATAAAATCCACAGTATTGAAACAGAATAAACTAGAAACGTTCACATCCTGTTGGTAAGCTGATGGAAAGTTTGATCAAAGAAAGGTTTGCTAGTCTGAAGTAATATGCATATTTATTCCTAAAATGAGTCACATGTTAGTAGATACTGTTAATTATGAAAATATTAATATAGAAAAACCCTGTGTATGCACGAAAAAATGTTTGCCGTATGTATCAATTTTTATTCATAGATAGTTGAAGTTTGTCCTTACGAAGCATGCAATTACTTAAACATCCACCAATATGCAAATTTTCCATAAAATCAAATAGAAAACATTGTTTCGAAAGCACTGCAAAAAAGATTTAAAGTCTGTTTAGCTATATGCTAGCACAGCGTTGAAGATTTGCGAAAATAAACTTAGGAACATGCTGAAATAATGGTTCTGAAAATTAAGGCTATTAACTAATACATTTTAGAGTCTTGATGTTTTAGTATCTAAATTTTGGGATMTTGGAAAAKATCTGCAACCATACTCGATCGGAAAAATTTCTGCGMACTTCAGAATAGCATAAAATCATATTTATGTTCAAAGGACGGAATTAATGAACGTTTCTCCCATTACTTGAAAATCAATTATATTGGACAGGCTATTTCCGTTCTTAATCGGAACATCGAGACTTCCCATTATTCGGAAATCAGTTGCTGCGAACCGGTTAGCGACACAGTTTATTTAAATTAATGATCGTCCATCTATTGTAAATGGTATTTGATTTGTAATTCTTAGCCTGGTAATTCATTGCAAAATATGTAAGCTTTAGTACAAAAGAAATATTCATGGAGGCAATTGCTCATAAAACCAAGATCTACTTAATACCAAATTTATATTAGAAAACATGAAATTATTAAATTTGATACACATTTTTGTTGAGTATTTTGCTGCAATTTTTTTAAAACCAACTCAGCAAAGTTTTGCGTTTATTTATTATGGATTGATCAAGTGTGCTCTTAGTTCATAATAAAAAATGATTTTTTTTAAAGAATAAATTAATAAAATGACGAGCAAAGCTAAGTGAATACAAATATTTAAAAATTAGCTATCAATTTTTGCTCTCTTACAAATTGTCATTTTTTTCAATCTCAGTGTTTAAAAATTAAAGATAAATAAGGCTGATTAAGATTTTTGATGAAATTTTAATTTAGGTTTACGTTTCTTTTGTCTACTTGAGATTTTAGCATTGGTAACGATGAACGGCTTAAATTAAACGAACAAAAGACTTCTTCTTATAGTGCACCTCCTATCGGATGTTTGCTATCATCACAGCTATCATGACCTTATTGACTGCAGCTCTGAACAGTTGAACATACACAGTTACTTAGAACTACAGTTAAACCAATCCCTCAGGTTCTTGAGGGTTTCTTAAAGTTGACTCATTACATTGCAATACAAAAGGCAACACAATCATCTTTTTGTAAAACCTTGTAGCACTAATACTTTTTGCACATTTTTGGGCTCTTTGTAAAATCTTCCTTTTGCGCAAAGAATGATTTCCGTTTTTTTGCTATTTAACAACTTTAGACATTAACTGCAAACATTGTAGTAAGCGATAATGTTCTTTTGTAATAAATTAATTGTCAAGTGTTTTATAATATTTAACTGACCGCCATGGAGAAAGTCTTAAACCGGTCTTCTTTTGGAAGCGTTTGGAAGTTTTGTTAATGTAAAAAGTTAGTAAATGACTAAAATTGTTAGTTGGTACCAGAACTGAAACATTTTTTACGCAAAAACTATGAATGCTACAAGATTTTACAATGAGGACAAAAAATTAATGCGTTCCAGCTACAACGTAAAAAGTTCAAGAAGTTTTTATACCAAGACGTCCAAGAAACTCAAGAATTTCACTTTCCAAAGCGGATGAAGAAATTCATTAAAATCCATCGGACCATTTTTTCGGAATTTTTTTTTTATCAATCTTCAATAGCAGAGGAACAAAATATTTTTCGCAGTAAAAGTTAGATGAGATCGACTTCTTTTGATCCAAAAAACATCGCAGTACGTTTTCATCAGGTACTTTCGGGCACACCCTGTAGAATGAAATAAATAATTATCGCCGGTGAATGGTGCTTTCAAGAGCAAGATTTTGTGTAAAATCTCCCGTGCAGGTTGAAAGCCACCGTCATATTGTGGGTATTGAATATTTCCGCATTCTTAAAAATGTTTCTTAAGAATTTCTCAATTTTATGTTTATTTGCTAATATGTTCTTTAGAGCAAAATTGTTGAAGAATCCTATTGAATTTTGTGGAGATTAATTATCAAATGCATGTTGACAAATAATTTACCTATAAAATTATTTGTTTTTTATGTATGATTGGTGTTCTTAAATTATAATAATAATAAATAATACAATTTATTACATTGGCAAGGAATTGTATAAATTACGATTTTTAAATTACATTGAATATTTCCGCATTCTTAAAAATGTTTCTTAAGAATTTCTCAATTTTATGTTTATTTGCTAATATGTTCTTTAGAGCAAAATTGTTGAAGAATCCTATTGAATTTTGTGGAGATTAATTATCAAATGCATGTTGACAAATAATTTACCTATAAAATTATTTGTTTTTATCTATGATTGGTGTTCTTAAATTATAGTAATAAATAATACAATTTATTACATTGGCAAGGAATTGTATAAATTACGATTTTTAATTACGATTGCTAAAATTAGATTGATTAGAAATTATTTTTGCTCTCTCATAAAAACTTTTTACGATTCCTTCTGCTACCATTATTGGGAGACTTGAGTCCAAATGTAAATATCAATTTATCGGCTTTTTATATAGCAAAGTTTTGAAATTGACCTAATGTTTCTTAAATAGCATATCCAGAAAAAGGAATTTGGTTGTTCAAACTGTTCAAAAACTCATCAATTGTTTGTTCCCCATGACCATAAACTGACAATACGTGTGAATACTCTGAAATAACAGCATTCTTTACGAATCCATAATAAAAAACGTGAGAAAGTTCTGCTTTTTTTAAAGAGGAACACTTTGAGGCGAAATACTCAACAAGACGGTTTCGAAATTGAACTTATCTACAACATTTGATGACGAATTCAGCTTACCTAAGGACTTAGATTGAACAAAAAGCTTGTTG